AAAGAAAATCATAATTGCACACAGAGTTGCTGCTCTTAATGGAGAAAGTGCTTTCCATGGGGATGCTCAGTACACAGCCACCACACTTGATAATTTTTCCTGCTTCATTCCAAGGCCAGGGCACAGAAGAATTCAGCATCTTATGGCTGCCTTCAATCTGGGATGGCCACTCTTTAGCTTCAGTTTGCAATGTCCAGCTTTTCTTCTCCTTGGCTCTAATCAAAGTCTTTGGCAGTTACTTTCCCTTACCTGTCTCAGTGCATTTCTTGGGGTGGGGGTGGGGCAGTAGCAGAAATTAAACCAGGACTTTGATCATGCTAGGCAAGTGCTCTACCATTGCGCTGCACCCCCAGCCCTTTTGGTTTTGAGACAGGATCTTCCTCAGGCTAGCCTTGAACTTGCAAGCTTCCTGTCTCAGCCTCCAGAGAAACTGGGATTACAGCGCTCCACTGTACTCAGCTCCCGCCTCTATAAGTGGAACAGAAGCACCTAAAGAAATATTCTCTCCCCTGTCCACAACCCCAAAGTGGGGGGTAGGTGGAGAAGGACCAAGTCCCTATCCCCCTGAGCCTGCGAGAACATCTGGTGCGGGGCTCTGTCACTTGGGTCCTTGTGCCCCCAGGGTCCAGCCTCTGTCTGGCATAGAGCAGGCTGCCCGTGGATGCTCTGGAATGAATGAATGCTGTTCTTGGATTTGTTTGCCCTAGGCACCATGGAGAGACAGGAGAAGGGAGAGGTAAATAAAGGAAAGAAAAACAGGGCCCGCAGCCTTGGCAGGGGAAAGTTATGTTTAGCAGTGCGTGGTGGGGAGAGTGGGTTTCCCTGGAGATGAGCAAATCACACCTGGAAGCGGGGCCTCCCCTCCCCCCAGCTTACAACCCGGTTAGGGCCACCCCCAGCACTGAATTTGAGCCTGCCCCGGGATGGGGCCAGCTCCCTGTTATTTTTGGCTACAGCTTTCCCACTTCCTCCTTAGGGGAATGGGGTCCCATCCACAGGCTCAGCTCCCACTGTGCTTTTTCAGGCAGAAGAGCCCTTAGCCCTACCCAGGCTGAGCAGGCAGCTTGGGGCTGTGGCCTGGGGAGAGCTCACTGCACCCACGGGCCCTGCCACCGACACCCAGCACAATCTGACTGTGGGGAAGTGTGTCCCGCTGTGCCCCTGTGTGTGGCGTGCTTGTATTTCTCCTTCTGCATCTCAGAATATTAGTAAAATGAGGGGATAAAGTATCCAGGAAGCCACGGCAGAGAAAAAATGCCCACAGGCGCCATTTGGTTGTAACATCAGTGGCCAAATGCCCTTGCTTTCAATCCTTAAAGTCAGAAGGTCAAAGAGCTGTTAAGAATTAAAATCATAAAATCATCAAGACCTGGAATAGCTAAGAGGGTGGCAAATGTGTTTTGGGTTTTGTTTTGTTTTGTTTTTGCAGGGGTGGGGGTGGGGTGGTTGTTGTTGTTCTTTCGTTTTTATTTTGTGGTGCCAGGAATTGAATCCAGGGCCTTTGCACTGAGCCACATCCCCAGCCCTTTTTGATTATTTAATTGTTTGTTTGTCTTGAGACAAAGCCCTCCTATGTAGTTCAGACTGGCCTTGAACTAACTACGAAGCCCAAACTGGCCTCCAACATACAGTGCTTCTCCTGCCTCAGCTTCCTGAGTGCTGGAATTACAGGCATGCTCCACCACGCCCAGTCCTATTTGTTGATTTTGAGAAAGGAGCTCACTAAATTGCCAAGTTGCCCAAGCTGGGCTCAAATTTGTGATTTTCCTGCTTCAGCCTTCCAGAGTCCTGGGATTACTGGCATGTGCCACTATGCCCAGCAACAAATGTGATTTTAATGCCCTGTACCACTGCAAGCTCCAGACAGCCTGGGTCACTATACCTCAAATTAAAAATCTGCCTTGGGCTGGGGATTTAGCTCAGTGGTTTCGCCACCTGCTGCACAAGCACAAGGACCAAAGTTCGATCCCCGGTACCAAAAAAAAAAAAAAAGTCTGCCCAGCAAGAAAACTCTGCTGAGTTCTCCACTGAGAGAAGAGCAGCTGACCCTCCCCCACCCAGTGACAACAATTTGAGGGCTGTCCCCAAGCCCATGCATCTCAAAGCGCCTCTGTGAGCTGGGTGTGGTGGTGTACACTTCTAATCTCAGCACTTGGGAGGCTGAGACCAGATGATCACTGTGAGTTCAAAACCAGCCCAAGCTGGGGCCAGGGATGTAGCTCAGGGGCACCATGCCTGCCTGGCAAGTTCAAGGTCCTAAGTTTGATCCCTGGTACTGGGGAAAAAAAAAATACCAGCCTGAGTTACACAGTTTGTGTGTCTAAACAAACAAAAAGCTCCTCTACTCTACTCTGGGATCAAAGCCAGGAACTTCCTTTATTACGGGCCACAGACAGCAGGCATCATTTCAGTCACTTTTTTCTTCTCCCTTAAGAAGAGAGTTTAAACTTTATTTATATCTTGTATATTAAACATAAACCTAAGAGTCTAGAGAAACTTGCCACCCATTCTGGAACCATGGGCCAGCCTCTTCTCCTTTGAGCTTCAGTGTCCTTATCCAGGAGATGGGGAGGGAGATGACATTTAATGGCGTCCTGTGACCCTCTGCACAGGAACAAATCCCTGTCATTGCTGTCTCTCGGCTCTCCTTGCCCATGGTCCGGACATTTCTATGGGGCTGTGATTTACAAAGCTACTTGCAGGTGTCATCCCATGCGAGCCGTGGCATCTCCTGGAGTCACATGAGACTGCGGAGTGTCATCCTCTGAACACACAGCCGGGCAACAGCAGGGCAGAGAGGAGAGACCTGGCTCCTGCTTGTCCTCAGCGAAGCCTGTTGGGATTAGGGCTTAGGGCTTAGGGCTTAGGGCTTAGGGCTTAGGGCTTAGCCTGCAGAGAGCTCAGCTGTCCCCATGGAGCGAGCAGACTAAGGGAGATGGACCAAGAAGGCAGTTCCCAGGCTTCTTGACCACACTGTACTCTGGTTCCTCCTTTTGGGGTCCCTGGGAGGGAGCCCCATTGGCGTTAGATTCCTGCTTCTGTGAATGAAACACCACTGAGGTATAGTGAAGATCTTCCCCGCCGATTGCCTGTAGAGAGACCCCCAGCTCAGGATGGAGGCAGCACCCAAAGAAGCCTTCACTGTGGGGGCTGAAGCCTTCCCTCTTTCCTGGCCTCTTCCTCCTGCCAGGACCCAGCTCAGCCATTCTGCCCACTCACCTGCTCCACCCTATCTGGTCAAGCCACAGCTCGGAGTCCCTGGGAAAGAGGGGTTCCTGGTATCCTCAAGGCTGACCTAGCCAGGTCTGTTCTACAAGGAGGAGACTGAGACCCTGAGAGGTCTGGGGCTCCCTGGAGACATCTCTGTTCTCTGCTGGAAGGACTATCCTGGCGGTGACACTGCAGCGGGCCCTTTCTAAGGACTCGGAAATAGCTTTGCAGGACCCTGGCCCTCTAGGTAGAGCTTGAATGGCAGGGAGCACCGAGGTGGCTCCTCTGTGCTGTGAACACAGGTCCTGACTTGTTCCTGACTTGAGTGAAGGGGGCTGGCCAAAGAGTAAGGCTGTACCCCCTGCCCCACTTTAAGATCATCAGTGGTGAGTTAGATAAGCAAGCACTGTTAGTCCCAGGCCCACATGGCCATGTGGACCTAAGAACATGTCATATGAGGAAGGAGTAGGGGTTAGGACACTTGGCCAGGAGCCTCCAAGTGTAAATGGACACTGCCAGCTGCTCAGACGGCCTGGGGTGAGACCAAGCCTCACCCTTCTGCAGATGGCTGGCAAGTCAGGGAGGCACGTGGATTTTGGGGACATGGAAATGACGTAGGACAGGGTCCTCTGCATGGTGCAGGAACAGCAGCCTAGGTATGTGGTGCCAAGTGAGCCACATCCCAGGGAGCTGGGCACTTTTCTGGAATAGACCAGCGACTTTCCATGGCCTCAGTCTATGTATCCAAGATAGGCTCAGCGGGTTCACAGCTGGGAGGTCCTTTAGGCAGCCCCTGTCTGGTGCTTACGTCTCTCCCCAACCTCTGCTTGAATCCCTACCCATGAAAGGATGGGTCACACTGGGGCAGGAGACCAGGGGGCAGCCCATTCCACGATCCTGCTTTAAGGTGACTGCGTCTAAGGGTTGGCGCCAACCACACCGGGTAATGGACAAAATCCTGAAAGGTAAAGTTGACACCAAAGAGATGATGGGACTGCTGCAGGGACAGATCACAGCTTTAGCCCTGAGTGTGTGGATACAGTAGCTGCTTCAGAAATGCTACACTTTATTGACAGTTGGGCCACGGTCACTGGCCACCCCAAAGCCCTTCCATCCTCCCACCTCCAGCCACAGTGACATCGAGTCCTTCTATGGACCTCTACTCTGGCAAAACTACACTTGCCACTCTTCTGGATGGGTGTCCTGGAGCCCGCTCCTCCCTCCCCTCTCTGGCCACTCCCACTCCCCAGTGTGGTGCCCACCTAGGCCAGGGTCCCTGTGCCAGGGAGCCCCATGCTCACACTCACCACTGTGCTGTATTCCACTTCCACCTGCCTCGGCGTCACTGGCTCTTCCCGCAGGGACCACGGGAGCAGCTGCAGGTTTGCATACTGAGGCTCACACTGCTCACTGGCCTGTGGTGGGCGAGAGGTGTCTGGGGAGCCCCTGCCTCTCTGTAGATACCCCCATGCTGTGGGTGTCTCACTCCAACCTTGCCGCAGTGCCCCTGTAGACAATGAATGCTCCCTGGTCAGCCCACCTGGGAAGATCCACCTCCTGCCGTAGCCTCCCTTACCTGACTGGAGTTCTGGCTGAGCCCTGAATGCTCACCACCTAGAGACAAAGGGGGAAGAGGGAGGTGGAACCCCTGAACCAGGGCAGGGGTGGGATCCCTATATGCCTGGTGGGAGCGGGCAGGAGGCAGCAGAGAAAGGAGGCTCTGGACTTGCGGAGACCCAGGACTGATGGCACCAAGCCATGGGAAGTTTCCAGGGGCATCTGCTCCAGCTCCTGAGCCTGGAGTCTGTCCCTCACAGACAGCCACTCGCCTGCTGCCCTGGAAGAAGGAAGCCTTTGGAGGGAGGAGGTTCACTCAATCTTTGGCTCAGTGTCCCGCCTTCCCGCACAGCTATGGACACCCCGACCCTTTTGATCTGGGGACCCAGGAGCTGGTGAGCAGCGGCTCACTCACACACAGCCTGATACCCTTGGTCTGGGTCCATGGCCAGGGAGCCCAGAGCCCACTGTCCTGCATGCCATGGAGAGTCACTCCCTTCCGGGTGAGGGTCCAAGGGGAGAAGCCTGAAGTTGGGAGACAGAAGCTCGCAGATGGACAGTGTGCTCACTGAGCCTCCTACTAATAGAACAGAACAGCAATGGGATGGGATGGGAACACATTGGGTTCCCAACACGGTGTGCGGATTCCACCCCACACCTGGACAGGTGCTTGACGGGAAGTGGGGAAGGACCAGTGTGGAAGAGCTGGCTCAGTGTGAGGAAGAAGGTAGCAATGAGGAGGCCTGAGAGTAGCTGGCTGCACAGGAAGCTCACAGAAGGGGGAGACCCTGTCCACCCTGGTCACCGTGGTGCCCCCAAGGCCCAGCACAGGCCCTGGCGCAAAGCGGTGCTCAGGACAGCTTTGTTGTGTGAATGAATGACAAGGGAAGGCTGGAAGGAAGAGCTGCAAATGGATGTGATGAGGCAGGTCAGGCTCAGGGTGGAGGAGTAAGGCTTAGGGTGAGAAAACATCCCAGATGCATTGTCAGGTGGCAGAGTGCAGACTCGAAAAGTAAGGCACAAAGGTTCAGGATGTTGGAACAGAAAGCCTTTCTTCCAGGAACTGAGGGTCTGCTCAACAAGGTATAATCCACTCATTTGCCTACAGACTCTGTGGTCCATGATTTCATTAATGGCAGGGAAAACTGTGCACTGTATTCAGTGCAAAATTACTGGTCTAAAAGAGAATTCATGGTACAAAGCAAATTCTTTAAGAAATTATATATGCATACCTAGGCCTAGAAAACTTTGGGAGGAACGTGCCTTCAGTGCCAGTGGTTGGTTTTCTCTGGGCATGGGATTTTTTGTTATCATTCACTAAGCTCAGGAGAAGTTATTTTCTTCCTTGTGCTTTTTCTTACTTTTCAAATTCCCTCCAGCAATCACATACCCCTTTTGGAAAGACGAAGAGGGTATTTGTGGACCCAGAGGCTTTCTGGGTAAAAGAGCAGCGGTCTCCTGAGATCACAGAACTGAGGTTGACCAGGCTGGGAAAGCCCATGTGGTGAGCGGCATCCACGTGAGGCCCCAGAAAATGACAGGAGAAAGCAGATGTGAAAGCGGAAGTGCTCCTCTTTCCCTCCATCAGGCACGGAAGTGCTGGGCTGACCTCTCCCCAGATGTGCTCCTACCCAGGGGCCCGAAGTGAGTGTGAGACCCCGTCCGCTGTTTCCGGCAGCACACACCAGCTCCGCATGCAGGGTAACCCACCTCCTCCGCCTGACCCGGCTGCTGCCAAAGGCTTTGGCAACAATGGACAAAGGTTGTCCTGAGATTCCCCCTCCCATGGAATCATGAACTCCTAGCACAGGGAGGGAACTTGAGTTTCTTTGTTCCTCTGTTCGCGCGCGCGCATGTGTGTGTGTGTGTGTGTGTGTGTGTGTGTGTGTGTTCGCATGCATGTGTGTGGGTGCGTGTGTTTGAGATACTAGGGGATTGAACCCAGAAGTGCTCTACCACTGCATTTCTTTTTTAAATTATTTTTTATTTTGAGACAGGGTCTTGGTAAGTTGCCCAGGTGGGATTCATACTTGAGATCCTCCTGCCTCAGTCTCCCTGAGGTGGGATTATAGGCGTGTGCCAACACACCTAGCTCCTGTACTTATTTGACCTGTCAGGTATTTACTAAGCACCTATTTACTGAGTGCTGGCTATGGTACCAGGGGCCTCACACATGTCCTCTGTCAACCTGAGCTCAGAGGAAAATGGGGTTACAGGACACCCAGAGCTTCCTGGAGCACCTGTGTGGCTGGAGGGATTACAAAGCACATTTATCCAGGCATAGCACAATTAGACCCTATCTCTAAATTTTAAAAAGGGCTGGAGATGTAGCTCAGTGCGGAGACCCTGGGTTCGTTCACTTCCCAGTACCACAAAAAATAAAATAAAATAAAACAGCTCCTAAACCCAACACATATTGATCGTGGGCCTCCTAGGACCGTGGCCCCCGGGCTTTTAGGAAGGCGCTGGCTGCTGCAGAGTCAGTCAGGGGAGCTGGCAATGAGCACGTAGTTCTAAAAGGGCTGTGACAGGTGAGGTGCAGAGGAACACCCAGGAGAGGGTGGGGCTGGGGCTCCTGCCGGGTGATGGATGGTCACCGGAAGGGGGAAGGGGCCTTCCTTAGCCACTCGTGGTGGTGCACGCCTATAGTCCCAGAACTCAGGAGGCTGAGGCAGGAGGGTCACGTGTTTGAGGTCAATCTGGGCAACTTAGCAAGACCTGGTTTCTTTTTTTTCCCTCGTCCTTGCTTTCCTTTCCCTCCCCACTCCCTTGTTCCCCTTCTCATTTTCTTCCCATTTCCTAGTATCTATTATACATTTTGGTCCTTATTTACACTTTTGGGTTTTTTCCAAAAAAAAAAAAAAAAGAAGAAAAGAAAAGAAGGGCCAGGGATTTAGCTCAGTGGTTCTGGCGCCTGCCTCGCAATTGCAAGGTCCCGAGTTTGATCCCCAGTACCAAAAAAAAAAGAAAAAAAGGAAAAAAAAGAAGAAAAGAAAGAAAGAAAGGAAGGAGCTTTCCAGGGCCCAGAAATGGGGTGGGGAAGGGTAAGCAGGGCCAGAGAGCAAGGGGCCTGACGGCCCGTAGGAGCTGCATTCAGAGGGTGTGGAAAGCCATGCAACAGTGTTAACCAGAAGAGGGCACTGCCCCAGGGGTGACAGCCCCACCCCTGGCAGGAAAGGCCTCCTCCCAGGAGCCTCCCCCAGATGCACCTGCTCTGGAACCGGCCCGAGCGTCAGCCACCGTGTGTGGCCCCAGGCGCTCCCAGGGCCCCCTCTGAGGACCCAGGACAGAGTGCTGACCGTGACGGCTGTGGTCAGGGACCAAGGGCTGGGGCACTCACTCACCTTTGACCCACCTCTGCCAGATCTGCCAGGCCAACAGCGAGAGCCCCACTAACAGAAGCAGGAGAACGGCCAGCAGGGAGAGCAGCACAAGGAGCCTGGTGGGGAGGTGGGTGAGGTGAGCGGCCATCTGCCTTCCGGGACTTTTGTTTCATTCATTCACTCCCTGTTCCTGTGCTGGGGATGACACTGGGGGGCCTCCTGCATGCTAAGCAAATGTTCTCCTGCTGAGCAGCACCCTCACCGCTTCCCTGTCTTTTCTTTTCTTTTTTTTTTTTTTTTTCCTTCTTTGAGACAGGGTCTCACTATGTAGTCCAGGCTGGCCTCGAACTCGCTAAGATCCTCCTGCCTCAGCCTCCCAAGTGCTGGGATTACAGGCGTGCACCACCACACTTGGCCCTTCCCTGACTTTTCAAATATGTACATAAGTCAAATTTTTGAAAAAGGCAAATAATATAATGTCTCCCTTCTACACCTCCCACCTATGCATCCTCCAGTTCCTCCCGTGTACACACAGTGTACCTAATCCTAGGCTCTTTATCCACAGACAAACAAATATGAATGTACAGGGCTGGGATGCAGCTCCATAGTACAGTGCGTGCCTAGTGCTTGCCTTGGGTGTACTAGGTGGCCCTGGGTTCCATCCCTAGCATCGCAAAAAGAAAAAAATTGTAGTGGACACATGCTAATGAACATTATTTCCCTTCCTTCTTCACACAAAGGAGGCAACACTATTCTGTTTTGACTTAGCAATACGTCTTAGATATCGTTCCACATCAGTACATAGAAAAGTGCCACACTCCTCTACAGCGGCATAGTATTCTGCTGCATGGGTAGAGTTCTGCGCCTGTTCCCTCCTCACTGGCATTTCCCTCATTTTTTGTGTGATTGCAAACACTGCTGGGTTAAATCATCCCGTAGCTCTGCCATTCCACGTGTGGACAAGCAGCAGCAGGTTTACAGTGGACCCCTTTCTTCATGCCCCAGTTTATACCTGCAGTTTCTTGTCTTTTTTATTTTTTAAATGTTTTAGTTTTTTGCAGTGCTGCAGAATCTGATGCCAGGCAGGGTCTCTACTACCGAGCCATACCCAGCCCTCATTTTCTCTTAAAGATCACACACACACACACACACACACAATTTCCAGAAGTTTCAGGCTCTAGCAAAGCTGAGCTCTGGCTCCTGTGTGTATCTGCAGGGTGAGGCACATTTTGAGTCTGAATTTTGCATTCTCTAATATCAGCGTTGTGACTCAGTTGGCATGAAGCATGCAGAAGGGCTTCAGAGTGTGGAGACGGGCCCTTGGCCTGGGGTCTGGGAGGGAGCCCCGAGTAATAGGAACACCTTTGCTGTTCCGGGAGCAACCTCCCTGCTCAGAGATGACAGATGAGGCTGCTCCCTGGAAACACCACGTGGTCAGAGATCTGACCCAGACTCTGACCAGCCTAGCCCCAGGGGAGAGTAGCCCTGGAGATCAAGCTTAGTCACACGGCCAGTGATTCAGCCACTCCTGCCTGTGTCGTGAAACCCCATTATGAACCTGGACACAGAAGATGAGATAGACACAGGAGGTGGCCTCCCCTGATCCCACCTGATGGGTGTGGGAACTCCGGGACCTGCCCAGACCTCCGGCTGCTTGTCTCTTCATTTAGCTGGTCCTGATCTTCATCCTTTATGATAGAACTGGGTTGGGGATTTAGCTCAGTGGTTCCACTGCCTGCCTCGAAAGCTCAAGGTCCCGAGTTCGATCCCCGGTACCAAAAAAAAAAAAAAATGATAAAACTATAAGGCAGTGCTTTGTAGAGGTTCGTGTCTAGTGAATTACTGAACCCAAGGGAGTCATGGCAACCCCCACATTTGTAGCCAGTTGGTCAGAAATGCAGTGGCCTGGGTTCCCCAAAGTGCAGTGGCATCTGCACAAGGGGGTCTTGTGGTGACCATCGTCATTAACCTATGGGGCCTGCCCTGACTCTCAGCCATTCATGCCATGATCAAATTGCAATGCCCCAGCAGGAGGAACCTGGACCCCAGAAATCATTCATGACTGCATGCCTTTTTCTAGGAGAGCCTCTAAGTGTTGTCAGCATTTCTGTGGGGTTGATGACCTCAATAAAAATTAAGAACCACTACTTATAGGGGGAACCCAAGACTTTGGGGTCACATTACCCTAAGCCCATCCCTACCTCCTATAGCTATGTGACTAGACAATTGCTTACCCTCTAAGCCTCAGTTCACTCATCTGTAAAATGAGCGCAGTAACAGTTCAGAGTCATCATGGGGTGTGAAGGAATATTCTTGGCAGCATGTTCCCAGCCCCATTAATTGCTGCTTTCCTTTCACTCCCTCTACTCCCCAACTGCCCCTTGTCTGCATCCTGTCTTTCAGCCTGAGGCAGAGCCAGGGTGATCTCAGTGACCCCAGTTAGGATGCCCAGACTGCAGCCTCCAACCTGGGCCTCTGGCAGAGGGTGTAAGAGGCCCCAGCCAGCAGAGTGGTGACTCGTACCCCAATAACCCTGAGCCCTGAGCCCCTCCTAAGGAGAAGATTCCCCTTCCAGGTCACAGACTAGGAGGCCTTACCTTGAGTCCTGGACATTTTGCTGGTTCTCCTGGCTGCTGGAGCTGTGAGTGGAGCTTCCACCCCCATGGCTGGTAAAAGACATAGCTGGGACTTTGGTTGTGGTTGTCGAGGTCCTGGCTACAGCAACACTTGTAGGTGGCTTTGAACTTGGTGCTGGGGCAAAACCACAAATCAGACTCAAAGGTCTCTTCTCCTATTTGATTTTACACCAACTACTCAGAAAGAGGACAGGATGGAGACCCCGGGGCCTGAGACTCTCCTGAGCCAAGAGAGCATTTGCCAACAGGAACCAGGAAGGGCCTAAACAGTTTCCATTCCATCCTGCTCGTGGGGCAGAGCCCTCCCAAGAGTCCCTGAGTGAGCTCCCCTTGCCTGGTCTGGTCTCCCTCCAGCCACAGCCATGTCTGTCCAACTGCAAAGCTGATCTGTCAACTGTCCAGGCTCCCTCTGCCTGCAGCACTGTCACCATCTGGCCCTCACCTGCTCCTCTGCTCAGCCCCCACCTCCCTCCAAGCAGCTCTGGTTTCCTGGGGCTCACCTCTCCCCTGAGCTCTCCGCTCTTGGCCTCCAGCCCCTCGATGGTAGCTTCCCTCAAGACAGTGCCAAACTGTCAGTGACTCAAGGGTGCTCCCTGTCACCCTGGGCCAGTCTCTCTCTCCTTGACCCTGTTCCTCTCTGCCCACTGCCCCTACACACTCACAGAGTTTGCTGTGAGCCTCTGATCTGACTCCTGCCCCAGTTACTCCCACCTGAGCCTTTTAGGGCAGTGCTAGGGCTAGGGTAGGCAGCTCACCTGGGAGCACAGACACCATAACCTTGACGGCAGGATCTTCTTGCCATGGTGCATCAACCCCACACCAGTAGGAGCCTGTATCCTGCAGGGAGAGGCTCTCCAAGGTCACCGTGAAGCTGAGGTTGGCGGGATGGTCCCTGATGGTCACTCGGCCGCTCCTCACTTCTCTCACTGAGTCTTTGGTCTCCACGATCTTGTCACATAGCACCGCAAGTGATCCTCTGCACCAGTACTTGTCATGTGCCTTGTCTTCCTCCTCATACTGGCACTGCACTCTCAGGGATCCGCCCACAGTGCCTGTCATGGTGCTGGAGCCGCTCAGGAGAAAACAGCCTGGAAAACACAAGCCCCAGTTCTGGGTCCTCACAGCTGGGCAGTCAGGGTCCCCTGGGGGTCAGGTCCTCCAAAAAGCCCCCCACATCTTCACCTCTCATCAGCTCCCCAGCAGCCAGGTCACCCCTCACCCCCTTCCCCTTCTGCTCTCCACCAGCAGTAAGCACAGCTTCTTTCTCCAACTCCACTCCCTCATCCCTCACTGACCAGGCCTCCTGCTTCCAAACTGGCCAGGACCACAAACGCTCATCCCTGAGCCCCTACTCTCCCAGGAAGCCCAGCCCTGCCCTGAGGGTCTCAGTATGTGGAGAATGGCCATCTGTCCCTCTGCTCCCACCTTGGGATGTGAGTCAGGACAGAAATAAAGTCGGCAGACCATTGAGATGAGGATATGCACACTCGGCCTGTGTGTGGATCAGAATGTTCACAGTGCAGAAGACTTGTGACAACAACCTTCTTTGTGCCCTGTTCTGTTTAGTCTGCCCAGCTCTAGCAGATTAATTTTCAAGGAAGCTTATTTTTTATTCCCAAGATTTAATCCCCTATTTTCCCAGATTTTCCTCAGACACAATGCTGGAGATGTCAGCACAAAGCTAATGCTGCCACCGAAGGCACAGCACCTCCCTCGACACCCCAGTGGCCCTGTGATCAGGAGGGGACAGAGAGCCTGGGGCTGGCCTGCTCTTCTGACTAAGGGTTAGAATACTTTCATTTTGCTGACTTTTTTAGATTCTTAGCTCCCACCTAAAACTAGGACCCCTCAAATGCCCACCCAGTCCTGTCTCTCAGGTTTGATCTTCCAGGTCCTTAAATCCTCAAATCAAGAAAAAGAAGAGGGGGTGGGTGGAGGGGAGAAAACCCAAATACACAAATAGAAGAAAAATAGGGCCGGGGATTTAGCTCAGTGGCACCGAGCCTACCTTGCAAGCGCAAGGTCCTGAGTTCAATCCCTGGTAG